GAAGCACCCGGTGGTCTTCGTTCCTGGGATCATTACCGGTGGCCCCGAGCTTTGGGAAGGGCACCAGTGCGCTGATGGGTTGTTCAGAAAGCGGCTTTGGGGTGGTACATTTGGAGAAAGTATATGAGAAGTACTTTTTTCCCCCTTTTTCCTTAACTACGAATATTGAATATTGACGGCAATTTTAACACATTCTATTAGCCTAATTTTCAGAATTCCGTATGATGAAATTCCCATAATTTCGACCGGACACATGGGGCAGATTTTTCAATTGTCCCATCGGTTTCTTAAGGAACGCAAAAATCTTTGGATATTATTTTTATGCAAATTTCAGACTGTTGTTTCCTTTTTAAGGTGTTTCATTGTCAGGTTGATGAATTATAACATAAGACCCAACTATAATCGAATGAAAATGGAAGTGGAAAAAAAATATATAGTTTTGATGACATCTGAAGCACAGCTTTGCTTTCAATTATTTAAAAGTTTGTCAAATGGAATGATGAACTTGTGTTTTCTTTCCCGGTTTTCTATAGTGGGTAATCCAGATATAATCTAGGCTGCTTTCCTCACATATCCTCCCTAATTTCGGACTATGATGATTTGGCCCATTTGTCATGCTAATATTCTGCATTCTTTGTTCCTTTGCATTTTGATTATATTTGGATTATATTGGCTGATCTAGACAAAAAATGCTTAGTAGTACATATGTGAAGTGACTGCTTACAAAAATTCCTTGCACTGTGTTTGTTTGGATTATCAACAGACCTTTATGTTGGGTTGAGCAAATTGTCTGGATCCTCCCGGTATAATTTAAGTGATTAAATTATAAAACTGTGAATTCTTCAATATTGTTAAACTAAAAGAATTATTACAGCAATTATTTTTTCATGAATTAACAAAAAATCTTAATTATAACAAATTATTTACTTAACAATAATGATGATGATGATTAATTGAAAGATATCAAAATTCAATTAAAATTTATTACTTATATCCATAATTTATTAAAAATTACCAAACTATATTACTATTTTTAGTAATTAATATCAGTGATATATTAATAATTCATGATTAATTAATTAATGATATATTACCAACAAATTAACTAATTACTAATAATAATTAATTATTTTATTAATATTAAAATTCAAAAATTAATATTTGTTCCATGAATAATTAAATTAACTATTATTACTATTAATAATAGTGATATTTTTTTTATAAATTAAGAATTATAAAATTTATTAGTTCATAATTAAGAATTATTAACTATAATTATAAATTTATTAATATTTTTAAATATTAATTATATAAAATTTAAAAATAATTATTAACTATTTTTGTGAATAATTAAAAATACCATAAATATTACTAATGTTACTACTAATAACTATAAATTAAAATTAGTGCTATTAATTACTAGCGGGGGCCCTGCGATGTACAATTTTGTTAAAAAATTTGAGGCAAAAGGAGCTAGGGGTGTACCTTGGGTTGTGTGGGCCTAACTCGAGCTTGACCCTGTTCAACCCAAGCTTTTGCATAAATTGGGCTTAAGTTTTTGAACTTCAAGCTGGGTTTAGGCCGAAAAACTTAAGGCTAACCTAAACTCAAGTTGGGCTTGGGTTGAGGCCTCGGGTAGTTTGAGATCGACCAAACCCAATTTAAACCAATGCCAACATTTTATGATATGCATATTTACATATTATCAATATGTTCTACTTGGAAATTGGGTTATAAAGCTCAATATACCCAAGCCCAAGTCCAGCCCAAGGTGTTGGTTAAGCTCGAGTTGGGCCTAAGTTGGTAAAGTCAGGCCTGCGTTAATAAATTATCAACAATTATTGTCATTCTATTTTTGTTATATATTACTAAATTATCAGCAATTTTTCTCTTATCAACCTAACCCTAATTGATGCTTTAAGCCAACCCCTTGGGTTAGGCTTGGGATTAGACTTGTTGAGCTTTGTAGCCCAATTTCTAGGTAAAATATATTGATGATAATATGCAGATATGTATATCACAAATTGAACAAATTAGGCTCGGGCTACCCAAGTCCAACCTGAATTTTGGTTAGGCTTATGTTTTTTCGGACTAATAGCCTATTTGTCTCCTCTTATCTTTATCTCTTAAAGTGTAATCATGCAACTTTTTGTTTTCCAATGATACCTCAAAAAAGAAAAACAAAAACTCTCATATATGGGGTCAAAATGGATATTTGATAAATTTCAGAATTCAGAACAACATTCTTTGTATTCAGAGTTCAGAGAAAAGAAAAGTTCACCAATACCAATATACCTCTTAATGTAATTATTGCACTTTCAGATGTCAGACTTTAGAGCAAACGAACAGGCCCTAAGCCTAGTTTGAAGTTTGAAAATTCAAGTCCAACCTATGTAAAATCTTTAGTTGAGTTCGGCCGGCTTGATTAGGCCTACTCAAGCTACACCCCTAACTCCTTTTGCCTCAATTTCTTTTAACAAAGCTCGCGAATCACACAAGTCCCCATTAGTATATGTATATACAACATCATCACAATTTGACCTCTTCTTTGACTCCAGTTGAACCTTTGACATGCTAACATCTCCCTTTTCTAGTTCTTTCCACAGTTTGGTTGGCTGAACATTAATAAATACTCTATTTATTGAGCTCGCACAAGCGAACCTAGGATTTTGTGTATGGATGACACGTAATAAGGTGAATGGTGTTGCACCCCAACGAGTGCGAGAGATCTAGATGAAGCACTCCTAAATGTAGGGGTGCTAACAGTTTGGTTATCTGAAGTAGGGCTATTTTCTACTTTTTGGAAAACTAGAAACCAAAATCGAACCAAAGCCCCTGGTTAACTGGTTAATCAATTCAGTTTCCAATTGGTTTGGTTCGTCGGTTGTTCAGTTTTTTGATATTTATAGTATACATAAATATATAAAGGGAAATTGTTTAAAATTCACTATGACTTTTCAACATTTCTCTTAACCTCACCATAATTTTCCCAAATGTCCATGAAACCCCATGTCAGTGACTTTTTGTTTTACAGAATTTGTCCACGTTAGCATAAATGCAATTTTTATGACCAAACTGCCCCTGAATGGCATATCAACTTATTAAACATATTTTTATGTCAACCTAATTTTTATTCAATACACAAATGAATTTGATTTGAATCAAAAGCATTCTTCTTCTTCTTCTTCTTCTTCTTCTTCTTCTTCTTCTTCTTATTATTATTATTATTATTATTATTATTATTATTATTATTATTATTATTATTATAACCATTGCCTAACACCCCTTAGGGGTCGTTACTCTTTTAAGTGATCAGTGCAATATCACGTCCACAACTCATTTCTTACAAAGATGATAGTAGCAGGATTTGAAATCGCACCACCATTGGGACAATTCATTCAGCGCACCAACTCGCTAGGCTACCCCTCAATTATTATTAATTGAAGTTCCCTTTTTACTTAAATATGTAAAATGGGCATATATTTTTTTAGACTGAAATATTTGAGATATATTTTTATTATTTTTTAATCAAAGTTTTGCTTTATTTTACATTTAACAAAGGTAAAATAGTAATTTACTTAACATCCATTAGTCTATTTAACATCAACTTTACTTACATGGGTTTCCTGAACGTTTTGAAAAGTTATAAGAGTTTAAGAGAAATGTTGAAAAGTCACGGTGAGTTTTAGACAATTTCCCACATATAAATATATAATAAAAGTACTAGAAACACATATACTATATTATACTATATTATAAATAATAAATAATACATTATATAGATAATATAAAATATATAATTTAGATAAATATATAGAAAACAGGGGGTCAAAATTCAGTTCGTTGATGGAGCCTCAGCCTCTACTAGGGATGGCAATTTCCCCCATAAAATCGGGGCCCCACCCCACTTGCCCCGAACGGGGCGGGTTTCCCCGTCCCCGCAGGATGGGGAAAATAATTTTCCTCGAATTGGGTACGAAGTGGGGACGAGTTTTGTATATAATTTGCAGGACGGGGAAAATAATTTTCCTCGAATTGGGTACGAGGCGGGGACGAGTTTTGTATATAATTCTCCGAACCCGCCCCGAACGTAAAGGTAAATTAGTAAAATATCTCTAAGTTTTTCCTAAATTTTTAAAATCATAGGATTCCATGATTTTATTTTTGAATTACCCCTAAAGTATTATAATTCAATTCTAAAATACCCCCAAATTCCTATATCCTATGTATAAATTATCCATAAAATAAATAATTTTTAAGTAATTGCCTTAAAGCAGGGAAAATTTAGAGATTCCCTATCCCCGATGGGGAATGGATGCCCTATCTCGAACCCACCCCACCACCGGGGAGGGGGCGGGTATGGGGCAAGGTATTGTGACTAGACCTGTTCATGGGCCGGGTAGCCCAACGGCCCGGCCCGACCCAGCACGCACCGGCTGGGCTTGGTCATATAATTAGGCCCGCGGGCCTGACCTCGGGCTTAACACAGTAAGCCCGACTGTGTTTCGGGCCGAGCTTGGGATTTGTCAAAAAAGCCCGGCCCAGCCCGACTCAGTATTATATGTTTTATAAAATATATAATATGTATTTTATATATTATATAAAATATATAAATAATATAATATTTATTAAAATATATATTTATAATTTAATATATATATTTTATTCTTTTCTTTATAATTTCAATCTATCTCTCTCTTTATTCAGCTGCTTCAACATTAATAATAATAATAATATAGGCTAAATTTCGGGCCCGGGCCCAGGCTCGGGCTTCGGGCTTTTTATGAGGGCCGGGCTCGGGCCCAAATTGTAGGCCCGATGGTCGGGCCGGGCTCGGGCTCGGGCCTTAAAAAAATTTGTTAATACACAGTAAAAGCCCGGCCCGAACCCGACCCGGCCCGGCCCAGGTCTAATTGTGACTTCGGGGTGGGGACGGGAAGGGGGTGCCCCGCCCCAAACCCGCCCCGTTGCCATTCCTAACCTCTACCCTCTAGGCTCCTGCTACCTAACCCTTGTTTTGAATAAGTTGCCACACTTTTGTACAAGAAGATGGATTCGGCCGTGAGTGGCGCGGTAGATGATAAAACTCTTGCATCCCAATCCCAGTGGGAGTTCAGCTGGTCTCTCTCTCTCTCTCTCTCTCTCGTTTGTTCATTCTTGAAAACCCCGTACTTCATTTTTTCTGTCTTCCATTTGTTGAGAGAACCTAACTCATCATGGGTGCTGCATTTACTGTATTTTTATTTCGTCTTTGGTTTTCTGCTTGTGGTTACATGGCATTTATCGACTATTTTCTTCACTTGATGTTCTAGTTCTTATATGTTTATTCCTTTATTTTCTTTTCTTTATTTCACTATTGTCAATGATTATTCCTAGACAGTAAAAGGTGTTTGATAAATAGGTATGTATCATTTATAAGTAGAAAATTAGAGGAAAGGCATTTGTCAATACAGTACTAGATTATATATGTCTTCAAAACATTTTAACTTTGAATGAAGTCACAATTGAGTGCTACTGGCTATGATTCTTTTTTTTTTTTTTGTTGGTATAGAAGTGATTCATTAAACCCAAAGCAACAACCCGCCGAAGAAAGAAAAAACCAGCATACAAAAGAAACCAGACAGCAAAAAGAAACAAAAAAAATCATGATTCAGAAATGAAGTTAAATAGATGTTTCAATTTTTTTGTGATTTTATTTATTTATTTTTATTTGGGGTGGGAGGGGTAGGGTGTTGGATTAATACCAATAACTTTGTTAAAGAGCATGGATAAAGGTGAAGAATTATCTAGTTTGCCAGATGGCAACGCGAGGCCAAACGAAACCTCATAGATGAGATTTCTGTACTAAATGGTTAATTGAAAAGCTTTCTTTAGAAGTTCCAGAGTATCCGTCAGGCAAGGGTGAACCTTTTTTTGGTTTAACAACCTGAAAAGAAAAAAAACTCTTTTTTGTTCATTATCACACTGAAGGCTTTCAGTATATTGATGCAAAAGGCGAATTTGGGGTGGGAGGAGAAGGTTTCATCAGGGTGACCCTCTTTACTTTTCTTTTTCTAAGCTGGTCAGCGGTTCAAAGGTTAACTTTAGTAAGTGATCTTCCTAATATTGTTGATCATATCGGGGCTTTGCATTGTGAACAAAGTATAAATCATCTCATATCTGGATTGGTGAGTGAAAGGTGTGGAAAGAAACTGTAGGATGGAAAATCTTGCAAAGGGTGGAGCGATGCTGATTCTTGGTGCTTTAGCTGAGATGGTATATGGATGTGTTTCCTGTTTACCAGTTAATATTAGTGCCTTATTATTTTATGAAAGGTAAATGAGATTTGTATTAATGGAAGGAGAGATTCCCTCAACCAAAAAGACAATTACAGAATGTATACTGCAGTATGATCTGATTAGTAATATACAAGAGATGCTACACTACAAGATCCTTTTCCCATATGTTATACTTCATAAGAAAAGGATTTCGATTCTTTTTCCCCTATGCCTTTTTCTTTTCTTTTGTGGGATGGGGAATAGGGGTGTCAATTGGACCGGATTTGGTCCAATCCGATCCAGTCCAATTTGAATCCATTACAAATGGGCCAGATCCAATCCAATCCAATGAATATTTTAGACCATTTTAGACCGGTCCAATTCAATGTCTGGACCGTCCAATCTGTTCAAATTCATTTTAATTTAGATTGGTTTCAACCTAAACCTGGTCCATTGACACCTATATTCTTATCTTATATCAATGGACCAGATATTGGCTCAATCCACCCCAATCCAATATAAATTCGTTGTGGACGGACCGGGTCCAATCCATCTAATAAATATTTTGAACCATTAAGTCTGGATTGGTTCAATTCAATATGTCTTGTTGGTCCATCCAATCCATCCAAATTGATTTTGGTTTGGACGGGGTCCAATCCAAAACCTTCCATTGAGACTCTTAGTGGGGATGGTTTTCTTACTTGATTCAGAGGAACTCTTTTTGTTCTCCTAAAACTGGAGAATAGGATTAATTTGTTCATCGTAGCAATATGTTCATATTCAGCCACCTAATTTTCTACTCTATTATCTACCATTGTTATCCTTTTCTACTTCTGTTGCAGATGGACTGAACTTCCCAAGCTAGAAAGAGATTTGGTAGATTAGAAGGTCTACTGTTGCAAAGATCAAGGTTTCGAATTGGACCTTAAACCTTGGACCATGTCACCATGAATAAAACTTTGTTGGGAAAGTGGTGTGGAGATATTGGAAGGAGAAAGTTAGATTGTGGTAGTAAATTACTGTTTTCAGGTGCGAGTCAAATGGAAAGCTTTATGGATTCTATGGTATGAGTGAGGGTTCATAAAAATCTTCTTTTGAAGAGGTAAGACATCAATGCCAAAAAGATAAGGATATACACGGTATAGACCATATAAAAAAGCTGTTACATAATGGCGCCAAGCAACTCCCTAAAGGGAATTCTATATTGCTTTCTATCTATACACAATGAATCACAAGAAAGAAAGTACTGAAATGATATGAAAATATTTGAAACATAGATTTTAATTACCTGAAGTCTTTTTTGATTGCTAACTTCTGATCAAGGGTACAGAATCACAGAGTCATCCTTTACATGCTTTCCTGCTAGTTAATCAGTTTTCAAATACTCACTCTAAACTAACTAAATGATTGCAGAAATGAGCAATCTTCAAGAGCTTAACCTCTCTTTCTAGAGCCCTTCAAATGCCAGTAAGCCACTATGCCCATATTTGTAGGGAAAACATCCAAAAAATAGGACCAAAGAGTTGACAAACAGTAATGCAGAAAGAGATGATTTTCTCCCGTTCAAACCACAAATGCAACCTTAAAAGGAACTGAAGGCACCAAATACACTAACTGGGATAAGATTTGTCTAGGTATTCTAAAGAAAGATCGGACTGAGAATGTACCAAGGGATCATTGATGCTAACTCTTTAATCAACTAGTGTGCAGTCACTAGTGGTGCAAATTTGCTAACAATGATACCATGGAGTCTACCACTCTGCTATCCAGATTTTACCAAAATCTTGGAGTTCAAATCATTACTTCATTCTCATTGACAGATAGGAATTAGATAGGCTGTTAACCACCCTAGCTGAGCTTTGGCCTGCTTTGCTTGGACTCATTAATTAATAGTTGATATCAGGCTCATTTTTCCTAGTGACACCCAGGGTCAACTCACCTTATTTAAGTCAATGTTTTTATATTGGGTCTGATAACTAAATAGCGAATACTTGACTTGAGGCACACAACTAATTCTTCATTGAAAGACAAGAATCAAATCACAAAAAATTATAATTTTTATACTTATTATGTGCTACATAATTGTTATACAAAATATAAACTGTAGTATTCTATTAAACAGAGCCAAGCCCATCCAAGCTTGGGTCAGGCTCCTTTAGCTAAACAAGCTTAAATTGAGGCTCAAGTTAAGGTTCTCATGAATGAGCCAAGTTAGGTCAGATCATATATGGCTCTGCAAGCACATAATATCAAGTTTCTATAAGAAAGATCTAGAAAGAGCTCTATTAGTGGTCTGTCTCTTCTCTTCAAATTCAGCTGTTTTTTTTTTGAAAGATGAAGAAATAATTTCATTAATATAGAAAAAACTGCAAAGGGAGAGGTTCCCATGCAGTACAATACATCAAGGCTGAGGAGACATCCTTAATATGCATTACAAAGCAAAATCATCATTGCACAGAATATTTCCCCAATGGTCCTAGAAACAATTGAACATAAAGCCCTGAAAGAGATTTTTTATGGTTGCCCATTTAACAATTAATCTTTTAATCTTTGCACAAATCTTCTTAATGGGATGAGACTGGTTCTTGAGAGATCTGTTATTTCTCTCTTTCTATGGGCACCAATGGATTGCAAGAGGCAGCAGATTACCCTGTTTGCTAAAGATGTGCAGATGCTATGATGCAACAAGAGATTTAAATATCCGGAGGCTCCACCCAACTGACCCCAAATAACTTTACAGCATGAATTCAAATGTCATGAGAGAAGTTACACCTCATCAGTAGGTGTTGAATGTTTTCCTCAGCCACCCACACAAACTATAACGATCACAATACACATTCCTTTTGATCTCAGAACATCTATGGTTTAGATTCTGCTTTTAATTGCTGCCTACAAGAAGAAAATTACTTTGAAGCGAAACCTTCTGTTTCCAAATCCAACCCCATGGAACCTTCTCCTCATCCAATTGAGACGAGTTTGAAAAGATATATTTTACTGTGAAGTCACCTGATTTATTACTTGGCCATCACAGGCGATCCTCCAAAAGTGGCTGAGGCTTTTAACCTGCTCCAGATTTTTTATGTGGATCATGTTAGTTTGTTGGATGGTGTATAGTGTGCCAAGACTCCATCTAAAGTGACTTTTCCCTCTTTTTCTTGTTGGATTTCAAAGGGGGGCAAACAAGATAATAGTAGATTTGGTGGATAGGGACTTGACTTCCTAGTCTCTGAAGGAACATTAATGAATTGGAAATGGATTTTTCGTATGGATATATATACTAATATTGACCAATCTACAGTGCCCAGATATGGATATGGGCACAGCCACATAGACATTGATAAATGAAATGGAATACAACTCTTACATTTCCTGTGATACAGTGCATGGATACAAGTACTAATGTCCCATTTAATATGCTTAAACTGTGCTTTTATATCTAACCTTTGGAAGCTTTTTATTATTTATCATTTCTCAATACTTATATTTTGCCAAATTTAACTAAGCTTCTGATTATATAGGCTTTTTATGGTATGATTTGTTAAAACATACCATTCACATTTTAAAATTATTAGTGCTATAAAATATACTCTAGGAGTGTCCATGCATTATGTGGTATCATATTAGGTATGTGTTGTGGCTGACACTGGATTAGGCAGGTGCAGCTATCTGGGTGTCATAGAAAGGTGGTTTTGTTTCCAAATCAGGATTGTTTTTGCACAAGATTCTTAGCATTGAAATAATAAGAAATTGTTTAAAGTTGATAGATGACATGGTGCCTACTAGAGTAGAATTGTGAAGAAGCAGGATTCATTTCAGGACTTTTTCATCTGGAACATGTTTTTCTTTCTTCCCTTCTATGCAAGGGAAACTGTGAATCGATTTGTAACCTTCAATTCCCTTTTCCTTTTACATCGAGGCTCTCAATCTTTTCCATACTTAATTTTTGCATGGTCAATAAGGGGGTTGAGTGCTAGGGTCCAATCTTTTGGAACTTCTTTTTTGTGTTATTCTGGTCCTTTTAGAAAGAATGTAGTTGACGCATTTTATGAAGATTGAATACCAGGTTGAAGAAATAGTGGACAATATCTATACTTCTAGTCATAGATTATGGTGGATATCCAAGGATTACTTTGCTTGTTGAGCCCCCTCATTTGATGTTTAGATTTTTTATTTTTTGTACAGACAATTCTACAGTAGATTGCTGTATATGGAGAGTAACCCCTTTCTTGTCACTATATATATGGAAATGGATGATCTTGCAGATCATGCAGGTTTCTTATCTAGAGCAGTCTTACTATTCGAGGCAATAGTTGGCATATAAACAGGATCAGGTCATCTGTCATGGTTGCTAAATTTTGGGACCCTTAACTTCTATTTGTCCAACTAGGAAGAGGCCTTACTTCAGAAAGCAATATGATCATGATAATAACCACAAATTTATGGGATGCAAAAACTCCAGACCATTTTTAGATGACTTAATTTGAAAATATGTTCGCTCTAGGTCTAGGTGGAATGGTGCATATAAATGTTTGCCCTTTGCATCTATATTTCAAATCTTCTGCTGCATGCCCATATCGCAAGAACTAGTCTATTCTTTGCTTGTATCTCATCTCATCTCTCTCTCTCTCTCTCTCTCTTCCTGCAGTGACTTGGAAGTGGATTATGAGTCTGAGGAGAATGCATCCATGGTCTATGCAGCATTAGCTGTTGATAAGGAGGTGAGCTTACAATTCTTGCAATTTTCCCCTGGTCATCTAATAGTTGTTGTAATGATCTAGTGGCCAATAATTAGTTTTGAAAAGAACAGCACTATTCCTTGAATTATTGTTTTCCTTTTTTCCCCTTTTTTTGGTTTTAATTAGATTTTGATTTCCAATTCCAGTTGCAGCCAGATAAAGTAAGGAGGCAGATGTCTGTGGGTGATGGAAAGCTCTCAGTGTGAGTTTCTGTTCTATTGACAGCTATTGCCTTGTTTCTTCTCCCCTTCTGGAAAGGTTGGGGACTATGCTTTTATATTTTAGCAGAACTTTTGAGGTTTTCAAGATACCATTTCAACCTAAAAGTTATTTTCAAATTTTAAATTTCATATGGGTCTTACTTCCAATATCATCATCACCATCATTGTAAAGAAAGTTAATAAGAACATAACCATTATCCGTTTCTCTCCCTCTCAAATCGTGAGGCCATCAGGCTATTTTTATCTACTATAAGTCAACATCATTTTCATCTTCCATACCAGGGTAGTATATGGCTTTCTATACACATGACTCATCTATCTTATTGCCTATTGACTAGACATTGTACAGAATTGTCTTTATCGCATTTTCTTTCGTTTTTTTTTTTTTTAATAAGAGATCACATTTTCTTAATAGATGTATCAGGACAATATACATATAATCAGTTTGATTGTAAAGTCAAAAGCTTCCTGAGATTTTACTTAGTATTTTTAGGGGAAATGTCTATGAAGAATTATATTGGAAATACTCAATAATGGAGAGGATGTTAACCACCTTTTGTCTCTTACTCCTTGTGTCATTTGGAACCATTTTCCCCCTTTCTTTGGAATTTCTTGTATAATACCAGAGGATATCATTTTTTTATAGTCAATATTAAATTCATTAAAAAACCAGCATGCTCAAAATATAAGTCAGCTGGTAGATAGTACAAAGCTTGCTCCAAGGCTTGGAGCACAAATTACAAGCCAACAACAGTACAAACAAACAAAAACAACTCGTGTAAGATTATTACAGATTGAGGCCCGGCCCTAGACATCTCCATTGTAAATGGCTTCTTCCCACCCCTGCTCTTGCAAGTGAGTTTGCTACATTGGCACACCTAGGCACCCAGTTGATTGAGCAATTCAAATTGGTGACCATAACTTGTGCCTGTCTCACCATTAACACCCATGGGATTAGTTCTTGGTGACTCATCCAGCAAATAGCATTTCAACAATCTCCTTCTACCTCCACTTCTTTCGGTCCCTGCATAGTTATCAAGTTTAACCCCTGAAGTGAAGCCAACAACCTAGCTCTTAGAGAGTTCCCAAAGCCAATCAGGCCAGAAAAACTTAAGCAGAATCTGTTCATTATGGTCCCTAATTACACCCCCAATACCTGAGTCCCGGATTCATGAGGCAACATCCATCAAAATTAAACTTGATTTTGCTCACAGATGGTGCACTCCACTCTGCCAATGTTTCAAGTCTCCTAACCTGGAAATCAGCCTCAACTTTCTATCCTCTTAACATATCATTTATGGTAATGCCTTGGAAGTGATGCCAAAGCATTTGGTGGGCTGAAAGTTACAGCTGGGAAGAAGAATAAAAAACTCAAACTAAGACCAAACCCATAATTAGACCCATACCCATGTCAAAACCCATGTCTTTTACCCATTCCCATTCCCATTATCCATATCTACATTCATATTTCTAGCCCATATCTGTACCCAAAATCCCGTCCGTGGCCAGTGGCCAGCCAACCCATTAATTTGGAGCATGAATTGGGAATTGATGCATGTTTAGTGAACGCTGATGTTGGAGTTTCTTGGAATTAAAGAAACATATAGAAGGTCAACAACCATCTTGAAGTCTTAGTCACTAAGAAATGTATGGCAAGTTAAAGTTGCAGTCTTTTAGGGGAATTAATTAGAGTGTAGTAATTAAGATTTAATGCTAGTTTCAAAAAACTTCCCTCCCTAGGATGTGCTAAGAAACTGGCAGCCTGGAAAAGAAATTATGTGACCCTGGGGGGTCGAATTACTTTAATTCAATCCACCTTAGCGAATCTCCCAATTTACTTCCTTTTAGTATTTAGGATGCTGCAAAGGGAGGTAATGAAAGTAGAGAAATTGATGAGGGACTTTTTGTGGGAGCTTGGAGAGGGAAGGAAAGATCATTTGGTAAGATGGGAATTAGTATGCAAGAAAAGGGAGCAAGGGTGTCTGGGATTGGGTAACCTAGGTAAGAAAAACTCAGCCCTTTTGGTTAAGTGGCTTTGGAGATGGCCTTTGGAGGAGGAAAGACTGGGGCACAAAGTTGTAGAGAGTATTCATAAAGCAGAAGGCAATGGTTGGGATGCTGGAACTTCTTGGAGGGCCACGTTGAACTCTCCTTGGAAGGCAATCTATGGCGTTCTTCCACAATTCCTAAACTTAATCAGGTATGATGTATGTACTGGGGATAGGATTCTTTTTGGGAGGACTTATGGATTGGAAATTCAACCCTCAAGAATCTTTTTCCACCTTTGTATTCCCTTTCTTGCTTTAAAAATGAGCCTGTTCAAAGATTTGTCTCATTTTCCTCTTCTTATTGTTTCAGTTCGGATTTGGGTTTCAGGAGAGACTTAAGAGATTCTGAGCTTGACCAGACAACACAGTTACTTTGCTTGCTTGATTCTATCTGTCTGGACCCTTCTAAACCTGATGCTCGTATTTGGTCCCCTAACCCTTTGGGCTCTTTCTCTTGCATCTCTTTCTCCTTTTTCTCTTCCTTATGCTCTGTCCCTAGCTCTCAGCCTTTCCCTTGTAAAGAGGTCTGGTCTAAACCTGTTCCCCCTGAAGTGGGAGCCCTTTGTTGGGAGGCCTCTCTTGAAAAACTAAACACATTGGACAACCTACAAAGAAGAAGACCTTGTCTGAGTATTTCCCCCAACTGCTGCGTCCTTTGGGCCCGAGCCCGGGCCCATGGGCCTAAAATTATGACCAAGCCTGACTTAGAACGGGACGGGCCAGGCCGGCCTGTCGGGCTACCTGGCCCATGAACAGGTCTAGGTGCAATGCAAGAGGAGATGGTTGGTACTTTCCCCACTCCTGAAAAAAGGATACATGCATGAGGCGAAAGACATCAACTTTTTAAGAATGTTCGTCTCCTTTTGAGAACCCTAAGATTCTGCTTGGTTTGTAAAATGGGAAGGGAAAAATGGAATATTCTTCCCTTTACATGTTTGTTTGTGGGATCTCATGAGATGGAGTGGGAAAAAATGGATTACAATTCTTAAATCTTGGGAAGTGGAATCACACCATTTTAGTGTGACAATGGGAAAGGAGGGGGAAATGTGTTTAACAGAAAAGACACCTTCCTTGTAGTAATTTTTAGAGTTAATATTAGACCTGTGACCCATTAATAAATTATTAATGAAATAATATAATTAATAGTTATTAATGATATAAAATATTAATAATAAATATAAATTAAGAAAAATTAAGATATTAATTAATGTTAACAATAGAAATAACAGAATCTTTAATGACAAACTGCTTCCAGCTAGCTGCTCTATTGAGGACAATATATTGGATCTCCATTTGCGGAGGGGATGGCAGACAGTGCTAATTTCTCAGGTCAAAGAAGAGTAGTTATGCATGAATCAATAATTCCATTTTGGGTTGGGGCAGAACTTGAGCTAGGTTAGCCTGACCCAACCTTGAAAAAGTTGGGCCACACCACTCTTTGATCCAATACACCCATACAGGACACTCTTTAATTATGTGGTGAGTTCTGGAACACACCACACCACAGCATGCAGAACACCACCAAGGGTGTGGTGAGTTTCAGAACCATGATTTTAAATACACTATGGTGGGGCCCAGTTCTATGGAGCACACCACACTTTTTTGTGACAACAGTCCCCCTTAGATTGGGTTAAGGTTAACCTCAAACCAGCCCAAGTTGCACCAGTTTGGGGAACAATTAAATTAATTGATGGTTGCACTTTAGGAAACTGGCTTCTTAAGGTGGAGGAGTATACTCATAAAAAAAAAAAAGGTGTTGGAGGAGTATGTAGAGATCATGAAGGCACTATTCTTTTGAGTTTTCCAGGCCTGGTGTGTGAAGGTAACTCAATTAGGGCAGAGCTGCTAACCCTTTTGCAAGGTCTAAAATTTGCAGAGCAGCAATGTTGGACAGGTTTGGTGTTAGGAGATAGCAGAGTGGTAACGGGTTGGGTTAAGCCATCAGTCTGGTCCCAGGCTTCTAAGGTTTTCTTATGGAAGCTAGGGCATTAGAGACCAACCTCATTCAGGTGGGTTCCTATGTCTGCTAATGCACTAGCTAATTTCCTTTCTAGAGATGAGGTTGAAAGATCTGCTCACATTGGGAAACTCTAGGCCTAGGGTTGCAGCATTTAATCTAAAGCTGTTCAAACTTCTGTGCATCTGTCAGCTTTAAGCTGTACTATATGAAGTGTAATGGTGATAGAGTTAAGATATTTGTACTTCTTTTTCTTTCTTCTTTGGTGGATAAATTGATTGTTCCTTGCTATTAGCTTCTGGCAGCAAGGGTGCCATTTTATACTTTTATAAAATTCCTGATTTGTGTTGCTGATCAAGGAAAAAGAACTCTAGTGGATACCAACTGGAATCAAATGACTCCATTATGGGTTTCTATTTTCATTTAGGGCAGATTTTTTCCTGGTTAATTAAGAGGACAAGTTGAACATCTAAAATGAAGCCAATTTCTATTTGCATTTAGGAGAAGGGATCTTTTTTCTTTTCCTGGTTGGTTAAGAGGACAACATCCAAAATGGAACCAGTTTTGATTGTTTAGAAAAGATACAATGATCCTTTTTGGGATTTCAAGGACTTATTTTATTTTGTTTTTCATAACCAGAATTAGAAATTACTCCATGGAAGATACTTACCAAAAAATGCTATGAACTTAAATGAAATTATTTACTTTCACATAGCATCTGAGCCCCCTGTGAATGGTTTATAAATAAGCTGAGCAATTGCACTTGTTGCCCAAGGTTTTGACATGTTTAGAATGTGTTCTGGGAACATGAAATAGATGATCATTCATGCCATGGCAGTTTAGAAATGTAATGCAAATTCTCATTTTCCTCGGGTTATTTTAATGGTCTTTTGTTTCAGACATTTTGAGGCAGTGGAAGCTAGATTTCTCCGTGCCTCATTCAGTGCATTTGTGGACATTCTGACACTTTCCACCAAAACAATCGAAGAATTTGGATCAGGAATGGAATTATAGCATCTATTAATTAGCTTCTGATCAGAACTGATTTCTTGAAATGACAAGTGTAATTTCATTTGAGACCCCCCACATTCATGAGATATCAGAGCTTGAGTTGTAATTGCATTTCTTCATTCATGACCATTTTACAGAGTACCATTTCACTTTCAGTTTTATCTGTAATGTATTTTTATCGTTTAGCATCTTATTGATGTGATCATGGAAGAAAGAATCTCGACTCCTGATGTGTAGTGTCACCTCTTTAACAGCTGTATACCATTTTAAGCAAATTCTAGGGTTAAAAAGGAACACATGTATATGCATATGCAACTTTTGTTCCAACTCAAGGTGGGATATGGTGTTAAAAGAACATTAAAATCAATCCAAAAAAGGAAGACCCTTGTTAAATCAAAATTTTCGCATTTATATTTTTCCAGATGATTAGGTACAGTGATGGTATAAGCGGTAATCAATCAACTACCGTTCAGAATAATAAAAGCCAACCCGTCGGAGAATTAACCGTCTGGTTGACTGTGGTTTGTTTAGGCGATGATACACCATTATGCCAATGACTAGCACCCCACAGCGGTGCCGGTGGTGTAAGCCTCCCACTGGATTTCTGAAAATAAAAATCGATGGTACGACCTCCTCATCCAAGTCAGGGATTGAAATAGTCACAAGAGATGAAAGCGGAGCTTTGGTTTTTGCCCGTGCAACTCCGCTGGAAGCTAAAGTCCGCACTTTTTACCGGAGCCATTATTGAAGCCTTTGAAGGTGATGCACAGTACGTGATCAAACTCTTGTTGGAGGACAACCCTCACCTTCCATGGAATATTCTCAAACTCATAACCAACTGCAAGAGTTACTGAAGTAGCTCATCTTCCTAATAGTCAACTTCCATGGAGGATTCTCAAGCTCATAACCAACTTCCAGAGTTACTGAAGTAGCTCATCTTCCTAATACTCACCTTCCATGGAAGATTCTCAAGCTCATAACCAAC